AGTCCAAAAGTCTAACACCTATCTTCAGCCACATGAAGAGGACAACATGAATTGAGCTTTCTACTTCCAACACATTCCAGCTGTCTTATGGGAAAAAGATCTTGGTGAAATGCAATATGCATTCAATATGCAAAGAAGAGGACAAGAAAGGACTTGGTTTGATCAGCTAAGGTGTTCCGCTGGTTCGGAGTACTGAAGCTTGGGGTGTCCGGTTCTGGCAGCTGCAAGAATATGTGAGCAGCCATGGGCAGACGCAACATAGCTTTATTCAGGTATAGCAGGATACAGCAAGGCACAGGCACAGCTCCAGCTCCAGCTCCCCCACCTGCACAGGCAAAGCTGTTCTCCTAACAGTGGCTTACGGCCGGATACTATAATCACAATCAATCACAGTGAGCTTGCATTCTACAGGTTGTATAGCACGCTGTATCTAAGGTCACCCGGGACGCTGTAGCTAAGGTCCTCCGGAAATCTCACGGCTTGCTAGGAGGGAGCCTGACTGCACCCATTTTGTTTGTCAGTCCCTTCATCCAACATAAAGATACTTGCTGGTGGGGCTATCCCTAAATTTGAAACTATTATTGGAGAACCTATAGCCAAATCAATTCCCTGTCCAGTCATCAAAAGTTATTTTTCCCACCTCCTTCACCATGACTGCCACTCTGTCCTAACCCCACCCTCTGAGTTATACAGAACGGAGGAGGATGGACCTTACTGGTTTGGATTCTGAATTTAATAGTCTCCTAATAGCGACTGTTGTGTACAGGTTCAATATGATTTCAAATGCACTTGTTTATGACTTAAGCAAAGTTGTTTTAATCCACTTGTTTATGACAATAATAGACAAAAAAGTTATTTTATTTTTGAAGTAAAGTCGTTTTGACATAAGTAAGGATGTCATTATTGTACATCTGTTGTTATTGATAAGCAATCAGCAGCTCGGCAACTGAGGGGCACCACTGGGGACTTACGGTTAAGAACAAGTAGAGAAGCAACTATGGCAGGGATATTTAGACTAAATATTTAGAGTTTTTGAAGACTATCTGAGAGTTTCTATTTGGGCAAAGTGACTCTTCGCTAATCTAAAGACTCTCCAAAGACCAGTGGGGCACTCTCTCCTGTAACGGTGTGGCTTTCCTGACACCGCAGTGATAAACTGCGCAGCTGCCAGGACAAACACATCAGCTCACCTACCAATACAGAAGTCTTTGTTCCCTAGCAACGTGCTATAGCAATTGGGACTTTTATTTTTTCACTGGCAGCTGGAATCAACTCTAGGTTTCATGCCATCTCTCCTGAACTCCCACTTGGATAAAAAGGTACCGCCGATATTATATTTACACTTTATTTCTTTACTTCACCTTGCCTGGAACAATAATGTGATTAATCTGTCATTTGTTTGGAGGTTTTTTGTTTGGGGTTTGTTTTTGTTTTTGTTTTTGTTTTTGCTTATTAAATGATATTATCCTGTATGTTATTGGCTTGTGAAATTGTAATTCCCAAAGCAAACCTGTGCTGAATAAATTGCTGGCAAAGACAACTCAGTCTCTGAGCATAACGTTTGCTGCTCCTCAAAGTATATGACAAAACTAAACACTGTTTCTCCATATTCAAAAGAGATTTTCTTCAAAAGAAAAAAAAAGCAAAAATGCCCATTTATTCCGTCAGAAGGTTAAGATCTGTAACTATTGCTCTAAAGTAGAAATTACAGTTCAACAGTCCTTTTAAGTGGGAATTCCTTGAGACGAAGGTTGTGGCAAAATTGGAAACATCTTTCAGGGTAATTTTTATTTTCCTCCTCAGAAAACTGAAGAATCAGTAGCTGTTCTTTCAACCTGGAAGTGATACTGAATCATAGTTTCCAAACCTGAGGGTTCTACGGGACACATTATGGGTTTTACTTCTCAACTAAAGTTGCTCCACTTATATCTATTATATACTGGTGCTCCATAAATATTTACTCTTTAGAGCACGTTAGTCTAATTTAAAAAAAAAAGAGATTTTTGGAAAACACTTGTCTAAATAAGAAAAGTACAAAGCATTTATAAATGTTTAACTTACAGTATAGTAAATAAGATATGTTCGAAATAGGTAATACATTTTTTATTTCAGAACTATAATCTGTTATTGGAATAAATATTAGAATGTAAGTGTTTGACATGTAAATATATGACATTATTAGAATGTCATAAACAATTTTCTTTTAAAAATACCTACCCTATAGCCTAAGTTGTTTTTTTATAGCTTTACATTCTTTTAGTAGCTGCTTTTGAGCTTTGAGGTTTATACTGAGCCCCAAACAAGTTGGTGTGATCTACTTTAGAGTAATTTGTTGCACCTAATTAAGAACCTTTTCTCAACCAGGCACTTGTTGAGTGTCAGGAGAATAAAGATGACTTTGAGAACTTAAGAGTGGCATAGTCTGGTAGGAAAGAATCACCTCAGTCTGTGGTCAGTATTTACACTATATTCTTTAGTAGTAGCACAGAGAAGACATCTACTCAAAAGGGAGTTGGGTGGGTGAGGAAGACAGGTGGAGGCTGATGCAATCTGTATAACTAGAATTGATTGAGTCTCTATTCCGAGTTAGACACATTGCAAGTCTCTAGGTAGACCAAGGAGGATGCAAACATATCTAGCCATTGCCTTCTGGAGCCTGCTCTTTAATTGGAAGATGAAGTTAAATAATTAAAATCATACACACACACACACACACACACACAATTACACATTCAAATGGATTTTATAAAGCAAAATAGTGAGAGAATAATAGGAGCAAACTCTTTTAGGGACACTCCAAGAAATTGGCGTTTAGGCTTCAAGAACATGATAGAGGTGCTAATTACCATTATAACGGCAATAGTATTACAATATATCCATTGATCAAATTAACATGGTGTATACTTTAAATTTACATAATGTTGTATCTCAAACGTACTTTAATTTAAAATATATATGTTTAAAAAATGAGTAGTCAGATGAGTGAGGAGGGAGTAAAAGAGTTCTTGCAAAAAAAAAAAATGCTATCTCCGAATTTACAGTAAATGCAGATGATAGAAGAATAAGCTAAAGAGAGGAAAAAATAAAATTAGCAAAAATCCAGTTAGAAAACTATAGGAGATTTATACAGCTTTTAAAAACAATAACAACAACAACAAAATTGTAAGGAAAATAAAAAATTAAAAGAGAATTTACAGATTAAAAAAAAGGTATATATAAACAAATGAGAACATGTAGACCTTATCTAGCTCCTGATTCAGATTGTTAAACAAGAAAATGAGAGAAAATATGAGACAATTAGATACTTAAATACAGCTAGATATTTGAGCAGACTGAATAGTTTGATAATATTAAATAATTATTTAAAATTATTTTTAGGTATGAAAAAGATATTGTAATTATACCTAGCAAAATTATCCCCAGCTTGCCCCCCAAATTTATAAATAAAATGAAATGAGGTCTGGTAGTTTCTTCAAAATAATCCAGGGAGGAAGAATAGGTGATGATTTAGATGAAAAGAGATTGGCTGGAAGTCAAGAGTTGTTGAAGCTGGATGATGGATACATGAGGGTTTGCGATATTATTGTCTGCTTTGTACATGTTTGAACTTTCTCCTAATACGACATTTTCAAAAAAAAAAAAAAAAAGGAAACAAACCTGAGAAGACAAATAAGATAATTATATTGTCATAAATATTAAGAAAAAAATGGAAATAAAACTGTTTTCCTACTAGAATTCTTGTCTTAGCCTAAGGCACTGGGATCAGTCCAGGCTACTAGGTCAGCTCCTCCCTAAATTACTGGGAAAAAGCCCACCAGGTGGGGCCGCTCCCAAGTAAGTAGCTGGAGTGCTTTCAGGGCTGAATTTCCATGGGCCAATTCACTTTCCATCCTGGAAGGGAGGATCCAGTTTTCCAAACTTTACTTGCCTAACCCAAAACTATCTGGTCACACCCTGATCTAGCCAATGCCTCTAGACTTTAGGTAGGAAGAACTACCCTGAAGGCTTGTGGAAGCCCTGATTCCTTGGTCTTCCTCCTAAGCATCTGATTATGGAGGCTTTGGGTGGAGTCTCATAATTTATTTTTCCAATCAATTCTTCAGTAAACAAGCTAAGCCCTTGCAGACCACACTGTGAATATAGTACATATACCACTAAATTAAACTGACCTGGGCTCCCTGGGTTCTGAGACTAATGGATCAAACCATTTTTCTAGGGCTAAGAAAACCCCCTGTGAGACCGCAGGATATCAGTGCTGCCATATTATGTGTTAATATTTTTTTAATAGCTCTGGCTCCTTAGAGTGACATGAAAACATCTGTGACCTCTCCAGCCTCATATCTTGTCACTCCCTGCTTCTAACGTTGTGCTCCAGCAATTCTCACGTGCTTGCAGTTTCTTCTCTTGCATAGTCCATCACTTGCCTTAGTATTTTGGTTCCTGCTGCTCCTATTCTGAACAGTCAAACCCTTTCTTTCTATCCAGCCCACCAATGTTACAAACTTAACATTTGAATTTAGAACTAAATCCAAGAGAGATCATGTCATTCAATCCTTACAATTGAAATCTACTCTCCCAGTGGGTGACACACCCATGGGCATAAATCAGTTGTAAATACCTCTGTATCTCTTTTCTTTCTTCCATAGTAATAACATCATTTAATCCATCACCACTATTGCCCCAGATATGTTTAAAAACTATTTTGTTTATTCAATTGTAACTTATCTATAAAAATTTTTACTTCCAGTTTTCTCCCAAGTCTCACCTTAAAGGAATAAAGTCTCACCTTAAAAGAATAAAGACAAAAATCTCTTTTTTTAAAAATATAAATTAGGAGTGATATTAATTACCCAATAATTTGAAGCTCACCTAATAGACAAGATAGGGTATAGAACCGATAAAATTATCACACTGTCAGATAATGGGGGCGGGGCGGTGCAGGGGAAGAGGAGAAAGAAAAGAACTCTTTTGAGAAACAGGAAGTAGAAGGAGACATTTGCTTATAAAAGGAGAAATCAGGCTAGAAACCCTCAGGTTAAAAGGAGTAAACGGCGGGTATCCTGAACAGTGCTGGCTTTGCCTTCCTCTGAGTGTTCCTGGAAATGGCAAATTCTGATAGCAGCAAAAAGGTGAGTTTAGCTCAAAGAGAATTAATTTTCCCACAGATTCACTTTTCAAAGCCTTTCTGGAGCTCACTTACCGGTTTCCCTTTTGCTACGAATCTTAATTTCTGGATGAAAGAAATCTCCATCTTGGAATCTCCTCCTCTTTGCGGTGGATTATTACTTTTCTTTCACGTGATTGTGGCTCCGTGCACATTTGAGTGAGAGCAAAAAAAGAGAAGTAAAGATTCTTTTTTCCCAGGGCAAAGTAAGAGATTTATTTTGTAGAAAGACATGTTGTAGCTGGGCAAGATAAAAACGATAAAGAAATGGAGAGCTGGGTTAAAAATAAAGTGGAAAAGGATAATGTGGATAAGGTCAGAAAGTGAAGTGACCAATTAGTTTCTTTCCTCCAAGAGTGAGAAGTAACCTACTCCCAGTGGGTTTGGTATCAAATGGGTTTCCAGACTAGGCTTGAGTAGTTTTGGACTGGAGAGAAAATATTGAGGTTTCGTAGATATTTACAGGGACTGCTGTACCGGGCTCGTGGACTGAATTGGCCGATATTAAGTGCATGATTACGGGCAAGTCTTGTAGCTGCTTTGAGCCCTGACTTATCTCAAGTAATATTTCCCCAATAACATCAATGTTTTTTTGAAGCTGACTAGTGAATGTGTGTGAAAGTGTTTTGAAAAAGTGGTATACAAATGCAAAATCCCTATATGCAAGCTAGGAATTTGAGAGCAATGGGAAGCCATTAGGATGATTTAAATAGGGAAATGAGGTGGCTGCATCAGATCCCGCTTGGCTGCTGTGGGGAAAAAAGTTTTACAATGGGTCTGGAATGGAGTTTTTTCATCCTTGGATTTGAGAGGAAAAGCTAGGTTCGGAAATCTACTCAGGCATGTTATTGAGCGGCATTGGTCATTTCATTTCTGAGACTCAGTTGCCTAATTTGTAAAGTAAGAAAACTAATAAATTACTACAAGTATGCTATGGGTATTAAATGAGAGAAACACAGAAATCACCTGGCACAGTGCGTGTGTACTGTACAAAACGAGTACATGTTAGATCATTAAAAGAACTAGAATGCCAAATCTATGCTGGGTACTGTGTCAGTTACTGTCATGGCAATGGTAGTAAAACAAATACATTCGCTTCCCTCAGGTCATGGGGCCGAAATAAGGCCATTGTGGCTGGAGCTCAGAAACCTCTCAAGCTGGAGTGGTAGGCAGGGGCCAGACTGTTCAGGAATTTGTGGGCTACTCGAGGGAGTTTTACCTTTAACTCAACTAGCAATCAGAAGCCACCAAAGTATTTTAAACAAGCAGGACAGCAATCCGAAAAAAGAGTAGAGTCAGAATAGATTTTGGAATAACAGGAGAGTTAAGGATAGCATGAACTGTGAATCATGTGATAAAAGATGGGAAGGCAGAAACATATTTCATACAGATTTAGGCAACAAATTATAAGTATTTAATATTTTAGCTGGTGAAAAAGAAAGCCGTGAGGGAAATGATTTCCACACACCCAAGATGTACTCTTCCATTTCTTCTATCACCCATTCGTAAATTTACTTTTGTCCATTTCCTTATCGTTTCTCTTATCTAGTAAAGGGTCTACTAATCAATATCAAATTCAAGGAACTCTCAGTAAGTCTTCACTCCTTTCACTTTCTAGTTTCTTATTCATTAGTAGTGATTTGAAAGTAAAAAGTTTAATTGTAAGCATCAAATGAGAATCAGTGATTAATCCTACCCTTTTCAGGATTTCTTTGAGAATCAATTAGATGAAGAAAGTGTGATTCTCACATTGGTTCCAGCTTACGAGGAACCTAATGAAGAACATCAAATGCAACCAAGCATTTCTTTAGCCTCAGAAGCCAGTCTGAAGACTCCTAGGACTGATGATAAAGGTATGAGGACAAGGAATGCTCAGTTTGCTGCCCCTCCAGCTCTGGGAAACCCAGGAAAAGTATAAATTTTCTTCTCTATCCTTTGACTGCACAATGTCCAGCTTAAATCTCACCTCTGTTAACTGCGGTAAGAGTTTCTCAAACTCCCATACTTCTCATTTGCTAAGCACAATGTACTGCCTTGCTTATAAGACCAAAAACAAACAAACAAACAAACAAAACATGTGGAGGGTTTTAGGCAGAGCATAGTCTCATGGGGCAGCTAGATATTAGTTCAAATTTCCAGTCCTTGAGGGTCTTCTCTTCATTTGTGTTAATTCGTACTTTATATACCTCTTATGAAGACTAATTTTCCACACTTTGTAGAGATATAATTGAAAATAACATTGTGTAATTTTAAGGTGTACAGTATGATGATTGGTACATGAGTATATTGTGAAATTACTACCAAAATAAGGTTAATTAACACATTTGTCACCTCACACAGTTACTTTTTGCCTCCTGCGGTAAGAACATTTAAGATTTACTCTTTTAGCAACTTTCAAGCATATGATATAGTATTAGCTATAGTAACCATGCTGTACATTAGATCCCCAGAGTTTATTCATCTTATAACTGAAAATGTGTTCCTAGAGATAAACATCTCCTCATTTCCCCCTGCCTCCAACTCCTGGCAACTACCAGTTTACTTTGTTTCTATGAGTTCTGCTTTTTTAGATTCCACATATAAGTGAGATCATAAAGTATTTGGAAGACTAAATAATTTTGAAAAACATCTAGTATTTTGCTTGGTGAGTAATTACTTGATCAAATATCTAACAGTTCGTTATGTCATGACCCTTTGTGTCCTCAGCGCTTCATATAAAGGCATTGAATAAGTATTCAGAATGATTTTATTTTCTGGGCCAATAATGAGGACTTCAAGATGAAGTGGATAATGACAGGTTACAGCTAAACAAAATGAATTGAAACAAGGTCTTGTAAAGAAAAAATGAGGCAGGCTGACAGAATGGAAGACCATTGTTGGTTGGGGTACTTTCTTTGATTTCTATAGTCCAAAATCTAGACATTTTGGAGGAGCAATTCAATATAATGTTCTATCCCTGTGATTGTTGACGTCCATAAAAACAATAGGTGCTGTAAGTAGTATAAAAAACATGGAATTTAGAATTTCAAAATGTAAGTTTGATTCCCAAGTTTGCCGTTTTAATGGAGATGTGATCTTGCACAAGTCTTTTAATTCTTGAGTCTATTACCTTATTATTAATAACATGAGGAAAACTATTTGATATGTATATGTGCAAATTGAGTTGTGAGAAATAAGTGAGAACTTTGTAAAATTATAAAGAATCTTACAAATTTTAAATTACTTTTACTTTGATTTCCTTCTTTTCTCAGTTTATCTGCCTCAAATGCATGAAAACTTCAAAGCTTGCCCCAAATCAATCCTTCCCTTGCCAACCATTTTGCCTTCAATTAATAAAGTACGTTGGGACACATTGCGGAACTGGTGCCAACAATTTAATTTGAGTACGGATGGTAAGGTGAGTAAGTACATTGGTGGGAATCTGTTGCTCAGAGCAAATATGGTAAGCTTTGTCAAATTTTAATTTTTTTTCCTTTATTAATTCCCTCAGAAAATAGATGTTTATCTGAGGCTCAAGGAACATGCTTACACTGAAGAAAAAGAGGTGACTGAGGAGTATGAAGATAGTATAAAGGTAAGTTCTGATTGAATTGTTCGTCTTCTCCCAATATCAGTCTATATGTTGTACCTCTAAGGCAAGGTTTCTCAACTAATACTACTGAAATTTTGGGCCAATTAATTTCTTTTTGTTTTGGAAGCCGTTCTGTATATTTTAAGATGTTTAGCAGAGTAAATTCCTGTCTTCTACCTAGATGTCTCTCCCCACCCCTCACAGTTTTAACAATCAACAATTTTTTCCACTTGAGAACCACTGCTCTAAGGGAACTAATATCTCTAAATGCTACCTACATTGACCTACTTGGGTCAATGTATAAAGAATGATAAAATTGACACAGAAGTTATCTCAGCAGTAGCGCTTTACTGAATATAAAATTGACACAGAAGTTATCTCAGCAGTAGCGCTTCACTGAATATTCATCATGAATCTCATTTGCAGGATGTTCCTGAAACATCTCAGGAAGCCACCTTGCAGTCAAGTTCAAAGAAATGCAAGATGGTAACCAAGAGAACAAGGAATCAGAAAAGTTATAAGATGAGTGAGAGAGAGAAAGGGACCAATACAGTTGAAGTGATAACTTCAGCTCAGGAAGCCATGTTGGCAGCATGGGCAAGAATTGCTGCAAGAGCTGTTCAGCCTAAGACTGTGAATTCATGTTTCATTCCTACTTCTGCAGAGAACTTTCTCCTGCAAACCTCTGGTAAGATCAACCTTAAAGAATGAGTACCATTTCAGAGAAAGAAGGTTAACTTTTATTAGTTCGATACTGAAAGGTAGTAAAAGGAAGAGTGAGTTAAAATATCTGTAGATTAGATACTAGGTCCTTAGAGGGCTTATCTTTTGATTGATAACCTAGTTTTGTCCAGATGGATCTCTGATTTTTTTTTTTAATTCTTTAATGTCAATACATATTTGACCCCTTTTACCCCATCTACCTTCCTCCTCCCCCTCTCCCCTAAGCCAGGTGATTTCTTGTCACTAAGCAGAAGTCCAAGGTGGGAAGAAAGCATGATCCAATAAAGCGATGAGCCACTACCTGAGATCTTTGCCTTTCTCCCTTTCTCAAGGCCCTTACAGAATCTGAATAAGAGTGTGCATGATAGAATTGAACAACCTTGGTTTAAATCCTTGTCTTACAACTTCCTAGGTATGTGGAATTGGCAAGTTTCTTAGTGTAAGCCCTGATATATCCTGATTTATAAAATGAAGATTATAACTATTCTACTTTATAGAATGATTGTAAGACTCATGAGAAACAACTTGAGTGGCACATTAAAAGTAGGCAATAATAATTAAAATGTTTGAGGTCCCTGTCTCTTTAAGAAATCTTGAGAATAACTTAGCCTCACCTTTCTCCAAATCTTCCTCTCTCCTTGATATTTTTGTTTTCATCTCCAGCAAACTCTGTCTCAGGTCAGCAGAGTCACTCTCCTTTTTCGCTTGAGTTCTTTTCCTCTCTCCAGCCCATTCCCAAAAGTGTTCTGGATTATCTTTTATTCGGGGCTGACTTGTATGGTAAGGAATGTTTTTCATTACACAAGGAAGGCAAGCAAAAGGAAGACAAACTGAAATTGACCTATTATCTGCTCCCCAAGCTGTACTCCTTTCTGTGAAAATGAATGAGCAGCTTTTGCTAATTTCCAAAAGCACTGTCCAGTCACAAAGCTGTCTCTGAAGGCCTGCTTGCCCAAAGATAAAGCCTCTTTCTAATTTTCATTAATACGCCACACTTAATCATCCTCTTCATTTAGTTGTTATTAAAGACCTACTATGATTTAAGAATGTGCCTAGCTACTGGGTATATAGAGCTAAACACATGTAATCTCTACTCTTGTTTTATAGTCTGGGAATATTTAAGCCCACAGAAACTGCTCCTTTCTCTCAATTTCAGATCCTTAGGACTTACCTTGTTTTCTCTCAAATATCTCATCTCCCCAATTAGATTGCTCCTTAGGTTTTTAAAGAAAGATTCTTTTGCTTTTCTATATTTGAGACAGTGCAACATAATAGTTATGCAAATGGGATGCAAATCAAAATATCTGGATCCATGGCTTGGTTCTGGGGAAATTATAATATTTAACAACGTAAGCTTCAGTTACCTCACTTATAAATAAGAAAAGTAAATAGAAGGTAAATAGTAATGTTCTTAATAAATGTATAAATACAGGTAAACTGCTTTTCAATATCTTGGACATAAAGCAAGCATTCCAAAAAGTTCATTGTTATTACCCTTTATGCTACATAATTTGTGAAATTAGATTATAGTAATCTTTTGGTCTACATTTCTCATGCTTCTCATTCAGTTGATGTATCAATAGACTGTAAGAGCAAAGTCAAGAATGACTTGCTGAGAGATTGGATTGAGGCATGGTTATGTGATCTGAGCTGTTTATTTGCTTCTC